ATTAATTCAAAGAACTTTACAGTAGAAAAGGATTTACCAAGTGAAAGTTTCAAAAACGTAATTAACTAAGCAGTATTTAATTTATAGAAATTGCATTGACGTCTATGGAGACAACTTCAGACAAGCGATTTTTTTTAAAATAAAAATTCAGATAATAAGAATATCAATAACTACTGTGGTGGAAAGATCCATTAAATCATTAGAAATAGAATGACAATTGAAAACAATTTTTTTACCATATATTTTTTTAAAATTGATTTTTATTACTTAAAAAAAGAGGGAGATAACTCTTCAACAAAGGTCAAGTCATAAATTAGGACACTTCCATTCTTACATGCTAACAGTAATAAATGTAGATTATGTCTAAATATACTGAGTACACATCTGTTATGTATTCAAATTCATTGAATCTGAGGCTATTAGGGATGGAATACCAGTACCTTAAATGTTCATCAAAGACCAAGAGTCTTACTCAGGCCAATGTAAGAGATTTCCACAAGGAATTAAAAGAGTACAGAAGCACTGATAGTTTCTTAATATACTGTCTGGTGAGAGTGATAAATGGGGAACATATTAGAACCTAATTTATGAACTGTTAATGAATACTAGACTAATTATTTTGTTAATCCTGATCACCCTATTTTTCCTGCTTTTGGGCAACAAAGCTTCACCTTTCAGTTCATTTTATACTGTATGGATCCTCTAAATTGTTGTATTATACTCAGGTGACCGTTAAGGCCCTTGGGCCTCTTGTTCTGCTTAGTTCCACTAAAATATGCACTTCAAATGGCAGCAATGTTTATATGTCATAAGTGCATTTTTTGTTGAGTTTACACTGATTTTTTTCTTTGAAAACCATGGAGATATTAGAAAAGATAACATGTATCAACAAACCTGTAAAGTACAACCTTCACGAGCCTTGCTTGAGTGTCGCCGATAACCCGTTTCTTCTTCATCCAATGATTATATTAATCCCAAATCTAAATTTTAATCAGGAAAGTTGCTTTTTCAAGCTCTGTTTTCAGTTTCTTTTTCTTCTTGGTCGACTTTGTCAATGTAGCAGGCCTACAGGCCTTCATTCTCTTACCATGCTGTTTTGTTTAAGAAAACTCCGCATGCTTGTATAGCATGGAATGTGGAACCCGGAACACGTTGCGATGTAGATATTTATGGTCCATAAATAATTATTAATTGTAATGAAATCAAAATTATTTAATTATGAAACTTGTAATTTTCTGAAAGTGTATACATTTATGAGTAGTAAAAAAATTCCAAATCCTATCGGAAAATTTTATCAAGTCTGTTTTTTGATGAGATTCGCCGTACTGTCACTTTAAGTAGAAATTCCAGAATGTCTCTTATCCAGTTCTAGCAAACATACTGTGATACTTCTTAAATATATTAAAGGAATTAATTAATAAAACAAAATTTATGTATCTTAATTCTTAAAACGAAACCTTTTTAATGACTTAAAATCAAAGTGTTCATTTAAGATCCGCATATTTAATTTTTTCTTTGGTCTTTCTTTCGAAAGACCTTTGGATATTATTCTAAATTTCAAGATTGATCGAAAATATTTATAGTAAACCATAATGGACTGAAATATTATTGTAGTTGACCCTGCGTAATTGAAGACTCCTAGAGGAGTTATTACCCCTTGCATGATAAGCCTTGTTATTGCTACTCTTCCAAATTGTAAACCGTAGAGATACTAAATATTCACCAATGTCTTCTACTAATTAAGAAGACCCTTCGATCTATTCGGCTTGAAAGGATTTATCCACCCCTTTTTAGGTCACCTGAGTCACTCAGGTGACCTATTGCTATCCGTTCTCGTCCGTCGGCGTGCGTCGTGCATTAACATTTGAACATTTTTAGCTTCTTCTCTGAAACCGCTCAACCAATTTCAACCAAATTTGGCATATAGCATCTATGGGTAAAGGGGAACAAAAATTGTGAATTTCATGGACCCTGCCCCCCCCCCGGGGCCTGAGGGGTGGGGCTTAAACCACCAAAAATAATGCAATCTTTAAAAATCTTCTTCTTTAATCCAGGACATCAAGCAGTCAAACTGTTGGCATGATTGTAATAAGCATTGAGCCCTCTACCAAAATTGTGAAATTCTTGGCCCCAGGGTCAGGGGTTCTGGCCCCAGGGTGGGGCTATATAGATCATATAGTGAAAGTGCATTATTTCTTTGAAAATCTTCTTCTCTGCTCCTGGGTATTAAATAAAGTAACTAAGTACATAGTTATGATGAGCAAGAGTGCCTCTTCCAAAATTGTGAAATTCATGGCCCCAGGGTCAGGGGTTCTGGCCCCAGGGCGGGGCTCTATAGATTATATAGTGAAAAAGCATTAATTCTTTGAAAATCTTCTTCTCTGCTCCTGGGTATTAAATAAAGTAACAAAGTACATAGTTATGAAGAGCAAGAGTGCCTCTTCCAAAATTGTGAAATTCAGGGCCCCAGGGTCAGGGGTTCTGGTGTTAGGGCGGGGCTCTATTGATTAAATAGTGAAAATGCATTAATTCTTTGAAAATCTTCTTCTCTGCTCCTTGGTACTAAATAAAGTAACTAAGTACATAGTTATGATGAGCAAGAGTGCCTCTTCCAAAATTGTGAAATTCAGGGCCCCAGGGTCAGGGGTTCTGGCCCCAGGGCGGGGCTCTATAGATTATATAGTGAAAATGCATTAATTCTTTGAAAATCTTCTTCTCTGCTCCTGAATATTAAATAAAGTAACTAAGCACATAGTTATGATGAGCAAAAGTGCCTTTTCAAGAATTTTGAATTTCATGGCCCCAGGGTCAGGAGTTCTGGTGATAGGGCGGGGCTCTATCGACTATCTAGTGAAAATGCATTAATTCTTTGAAAATCTTCTCTGCTCCTGGGTATTAAATTAAGTACTAAGTACATAGTTATGATGAGCAAGAGAGCTTCTTCCAAAATTGTGAATTTCCTTGCCCCAGGGTCAGGGGTTCTGGTGTTAGGGCGGGGCTCTATTGACTTTATAGTGAAAATGCATTAATTCTTTGAAAATTTTCTCCTCTGCTCCTGGGCAATAAGGTGATAAACTAAGTACATAGTTATAATGAGGAGGTGGGCCCCTTCCAGAATTGTGAAAGCCATGGCCCCTGGGTCAGGGGTTCTGTTGTTAGGGCGGGGCTCTATTGATTATATAGTAAAAATGCATTAATTCTTTGAAAATCTTCTTCTCTGCTCCTGGGTATTATTTAAACAAACTAAGTGCATGGTTATGATGCATAAGGATGCCTTTTTAAAAATTGTGAATTTCATGACCCCAGGGTCAGGGGTTCTGGTGTTAGGGTGGGGCTCTATTGATTATATTGTGAAAATGCATTGATTCTTTGAAAATCTTCTTCTCTGCTACTGGAGATTATTTAAACAAACTAAGTGCATGGTTATGATGCATAAATATGCCTTTTTAAAAATTTTGAATTTCATGGCCCCAGGGTCAGGTCTGGTGTTAGGGCGGGGCTCTATTGATTATAGAGTGAAAATGCATTGATTCTATGAAAATCTTCTTCTTTGCTACTGGAGATTATTTAAGCAAACTAAGTGCATGATTATGATAGGCAAGGATGCCTCTTCCAAAATTTTTAAATATATGGCCTCAGTTTTTGGGGTTCTTGAGGGGGGGGGGGGGGGCTCTATTGATTATATAGTGAAAATGCATTAATTCTATTAATTAATCATTAATTAATCCTGTCTGCTCCTTAGTGTTGAGCTGATTAATAAATTGCTTAGCTATGATGAAAATGGGAGCTTCGAACAGAATTTTTAAATCTTGTGGTCCTAGGGTCAGGGGTTCTGGCATAACGAGGAGGGGGGGGGGGCTTTTGATAATATAGTGGAAAAGTGTTAATTCTTTGAAGTCCATAGTTATGATGGTGAGGGTAACTCTTCCAAATTTGTAAATTTCTTGACCTTTGGTCTTGGGTTCTGGTGTTAGGGTAAGGCTTTGTTGAATCTGTAGTGAAAATGCTTTGTACCTGTGAAATTCTTCTCTGCTTCTGGGCATATCGGAAGCAAACTGAGTAAAAGTTTAAATGATATAAGTAAGCGTATTTCTACCAGATTTTTGAACATCTGGACTATTTGTCTAAGCATTCTGATCCTGGGCAGGGCTCTATTAATTTGTATTCTACTGAGTGAAGTTATTCACCTTTTCCATTCACCTTTGATAATTAATCACTGTAAATAATGTATTTGAAAGGTTAATAGAAAAAGATAATTATGCAAGAATGTTTATCGTATAATTCAAAAAGTACTTTCTTAGTTTTAATAATCAGGCAGACCTGTAAGTAATAAATAAATAAAAATGAGACAAAAATAACTTATCTTATTAAAAGTTCTTCAAAGACCATAAGAGAGGTCAATGCTAGAGGTCATAATATGGGTTTAAAAATAGTACAGAAGCACTAATAGTTTGTTAATAGTCTACATGGTGATAGTGTTAAGTGGGGGACGGATTGGAACTTAAGTTATGAGTTGATACTGAATACTAGACTAATTATTTTGTTATCCTGATCTTCCTACTTCTCTTGCTTTAGGGGAACAAAGCTTCATCTATCACTGTATTTAACTTCTAAATTGTTGTATTATACTCAGGTGACCGTTAAGGCCCTTGGGCCTCTTGTTTAAGTTATTGTATAAGAAGCCCATTATGCAAATTATCCCACGTTTCCGTCTATCGTTGATGCCCTGGCATACCCAACAAACTAGACAGTGATACCTTATATTTACATTAATATGTGAATAAAATTGTAAATATAAATAAGAAAAAAACAGCGATGAAAAACAATGTCCTATGTGTTTTTATGTTCTGCAAAATCTTATGATATGTGATATTTATATTCATATTTATACCCATATTTCAGATTGAAAGTACTAGTGATTACTAGTAAACTGCACAGTGATAAAGCCTTTATCGGCACTGTACATTTTTCAATTACATTTTACCACTTTTTAATTACAGCTAATGTAACTCTATGCACTGCTGCCCAGTTCCAGTGTTCAGATCAGCAGTGCATTGATCTTTCCTGGAAATGTGACGGTGATGCTGATTGCAAAGAGTGATGAAAAAGACTGCACACTAGTGAATTGGTGTAAAGCGGATAGAGAATGGGAGTGCCACAATCATGAACAGTGCATCCTCAAGTCATGGAAATGTGACGGGGATGTAGATTGCGTGGATGGTTCAGATGAATTAAATTGTTAAAGTTCTTTTTATTCACTTTTTGAGTAGAATGAGCAATAACTGAAATTTTACATGGATATTTTATTTTTAAATGAGCAGAGATATGCTTTAAGGTAAATGATATTAAAATTTGCAACACCACGAGCTTTGTTTTTGTCAAAATTTGCCGATGCTTTACGCAAGTAGGGAAGAGGAAAGTCCAAATCTCAAAACCAAGAGCAAAATTAAAATGTACATGACAGTGCTCAGTATTTACAATTTATGTCCTAATAAAATGAATTAAGTTCATCGGAAAAGTGACATTTTTAGTAATTTCTTTTTAATTTTTAATTAAATATATATAAAAAATCTTATCACTGATCAAGCATAGGGTGTCGTGAGAATCATTTTTTTCCAAACTTTACTTCTCCCACAGCTTTGGCCCTAGATTTCACTAATACTTGGAGCACAAGTAGACTATACTAAGATACATTATTCTTGTTATCGGTTTTTGATTTCCTTAAACACTGTTGCCATGGCTAGTAAAAAAGATATTTTAATGAAACTCATTTAAACCGCTACTCCTCCTAGTGTTTTGTTTCGATTTCAGTGATTTATAAGTTTTTGATTTCCATGAAAGATGTTGCCATGGTTACTAAAAGTAGTTTAAAAATGCAGAAAAAGCATCATTTTTCCGACCCCTATTTGCCCTCTAGGATGAACTGAATCTATAGGACACCAATCGTCTTCCAAAAGATGATTAGGCTACTGCATAAAATATAAGAGAAGTCATGGGAACCAAGGTTTTTCTTCTATTAAAAAAAAAGTCATTTTTCGACTTCCATTTGACCCCAAAGGTGAAAATGAAAATTCCAAATTTTATTGCACATCTACAGGAGACCATCAATCATCTTCCAAAAGATGATAGACTACTCCGAAAAATGTAATGGGGGTTTCTGGGAACCAGGTCATAGTAAAAAAAAAAATAACATCATTATACCCCCAGGGTAAAAATGAAAATTCCGATCCTTATTGCACATCTACAGGGCAACAACAATCATCTTCCAAAAGATGATTAGGCTACTGCATAAAATATAAGAGGAGTTCAGGGAACCAGGGTCTGTTTTGTATTTTAAAAAAAGTCATTTTTCAACCCCAAAACATTATCTACAGGACATCATCAATCAAAATAGATGATTAGGCTACTGCATGAAATATAAGAAAAGTTCTGGGAATCAAGGTCTTTTTGCATAAAAAAAAATATCATTTTTCGACCCCCATTTGACCCCCAGGGTGAAAATAAAAATACCGGAAACCTTATTGCACATCTACAGGACACCACCAATCATTTTCCAAAAGATAAGGCTACTGATTAAAATGTAAGAGGAGTTCTTGAAAGCTGGGTGTGTTTTTTTTATTGAAAAAACATCATTTTCGACCCCCATTTGACCCTCAGGGGTTAAAATGAAAATTCCTAAAAACCTTATTGCACATCTATAGGACACTACCAATCATCTTCCAAAAGATGACAATGCTACTGCGTAAAATATAAGAGGAGTTCTAATACAAGGTTTTTGTAAAAAAAAAAAAAAAAAAAAAAAAAAAAAAAAAAAAAAAAAAAAAAAAAAAACGTCATTGTTTGACCCCCATTTTGCCCCCGGGTAATATTTAAATTTCCAAAACTGTTCTACATCTTATTGCACATGACTAGGCTACTGCTTAAAATGTAAGAGGAGTTCTGGGAAAAAGGTTTTTGTAAAAAAGAAAAACGTCATTTTTAGCCCCCGTTTTGCCCCTGGTGTAATATTTAAAATTCTAAAACTTTAATGCAAATCTACAGGACACCACCTTTCATATTCGACAAGATGAATTGGTCACTGCTTAAAATAAAAGAGGAGTTTGAGGAAGAAGAAAGTGTGACAGACGGACGGACGGACCAGGATAACAACAACATACACGAACTTTCTTTAGAAAGTGCGGGTATAATGATGTGTACAAGGCTTGTGGCGACGAAGGACTTGCCAAAAGTTCGATTAGTAATTGGATTGTTTTAGTAAAGGAATGGAGATGGTTAAAAATTATGTTCGTTCTGGATGCCCACTAAAAGTGAGCTGGGAAAGAGATGTGATCTTAGTTGAGTAATTTGTAATAAAAGATATCCGAGCAACAGTTAGAAAATAGTTGAATATCTAAACAATAAATAATTCTTAATGCCCTGAAATTTCAGTTACTTTAGACTGTTAAAAAATCAGATATGATAAAAAGAAAGCGTTCATGCTTGTTCTACACTCAAATACACGAAGCATCCAAGACGGAGAAGTAGAGTTGTGATGGACACCATGCACATCATGGGAAAAGAAATCCTAATCCCTTCATCCTATGTCCAAGAGTTGGCAATTTGTAACATGTGGACTATTCTTTTAATTAAAAACAAATGCTTGGTAGGAAATATAAGACCCGCAAAATCTTTGGGCTGCTGTGAACAGTCAGCTACGGAGCATGCCATGTGACCGCCTAGACCACGTGTTTCGTGCATTGCCGGAGAGACCTGCCTTATAAAAAATAGAAATTCAGTTTGATTTCTTTTATGGAAGTTATTCAGTGAGTTCGCGAACTTTTTGATCATCCCCCGTAGTCTCTGCAATATCACTGCAAATTATGTTAACAGGATGCTTCAATATATATATAAATGGTTAAATACAATATACTCCATAGAGAAACTTGTATCGGCTGCTATCTAAAGAGAATGAAAACAAGGGTGAAGAAATTCAGGTATCTAAATGATTTTCTTTTTTAATTTCAGTTACATCAATATCAACTGCAGTTTTACCTTCTGTACAAACGAAGGCCACAGACAAACCAAAAGCTACAACTTCAAAACCTCTAGTAACATCCAAAGGTCCAGGTTATATTCCCATCAGAACTGAAACTCCATAGAGATTGTAACATAATTTTTTAAAAAACAATAAACATAAAAAGCATGGACCATTTCTTATTTATAACAAAAAGAACAACTTAAGTACGCCATCTATTTTGGAGAAGAATAGATTGAAAGATTTTTAATCTTGCATGTCGCATCAACAATATTAAGGAGATTCATTGTCTGACCATGAAAATAAGATGGCTTTATTCATAGGTAAATTTAACTTACAACAAATGAATTTGAATTTTCAAAATGAAAGTAAATATGCCGAGTTTGCCTTTATGTGTATCTGTAACAGTTTAACAATTTAATGAAAAACTCTACTTATGCATGGACCATTTCCTATTCACAGAACATATAACAACTTCAAGTTTATTACCAACTCCTCCATCTCAGACAGTTTCCCCTAATAATACAAACAGACATTCTTCTAGTTCTCATTATAATATTTGTTATAAACAACAGATTAAACAAAATTATGTTTAACTGAATAGATCTATAGGTCACAATGAAAATAAGAATGCTGTACAATAACTACCTTATTTTGTGTTCTATTCTTTTGCTGTACTTTTAAACAATATCCGCTCTCTCCGTCTTCTATTATACTGCATACTAGTATATATAGACCCTTCCTGATGATATATGTGCAAATGTTATATGCATATATACTGAAAGCTTCAAAAGAAATGATTAAAAGTATTTAACCCATTGAAGTTATATCGATTTAACTAAGGTAACATTTATCAGCGTTTTTTTGTTTTTTTTTTTTTTTTTGGTTGATTCGATACTCCAGAGCATGCTCTACATATGAACAATTTCTAAAATGAGGTAAGTTATTGACAAACAAGTTGATGAAACAAGAATATCAACAGTCTCATTTAAAGTCATCATTTCGTAAGTTCTATGGTCGATACAATGACCTTCCCTCGTCAGCAAATACAATCTATCATTAAGTCAAATGCTGACTGACTTTTTTCATACTATTTGTTAGGCCATTATTTACACACTGAATTGTTGATGGATTTTTCCGTTATTTCCCGATCATGACAAGGAGCACACGGCGGGTGTGACCGGTCAACAGGGGATGCTCACTTCTCCATGGCACCTGATCCAACTTCTGAAGTTTTAGAGGTCCGTGTTTGCTCTGCTCTTATTTTGTAATGTTTAATGGACTTTTGAGCTCGAATACTGTTCGTTATCTCCACATATTTCTTCCCGAGTATTATCCTATTCTAGCCTACGGGTGAGTTATGATGTCATGGCCTTCCTAAAGATATTTTTAGCAGTCAACATGTGTAAAATTCAAAAAGTAAGATTTGATCATTTTATTTGCGTGGCTATTTCATTTAATGTCACATCCTCATAAATGCTATACCCTCCGATAGTAATTTCTTTAATTTTCTTTAATTTCTTTAAAATTCTTTAATTTGTTTTCCATATAACTTTATATTCGACGCCAAAGCACGATGCCTAAAAGGAGAGCCAGGCAGATCAGATTCAGCCTAAGGTCAGCGAGGACCCCGACCAGACCAGAAAGTTACAGTAGACATTCAGTGGCAAAGGACAAACTCATGCATATTTCAGGAATACCCAGATGAAATAGCTAATGGAGTGTATTCCTAGGTTTGCTGACTGCGGAAGCCAAGCTGCACTCATCCCCGTCAGAACAACGGATACAAGTCCGACTTGTAATGAAAAGTTTCCAGGTAATAAAGTCATGGATATTTTATTTGCTGATTTTACAGGGGGCTCTGATTACCAAAGAGTGCTAGTGCCCATTTACAGCGATGAGTTGGGTTACAATGTGCCCAATAAATGAAAGTTAGAATTTCCAATGGGCAATTTGTAAATTTAACAAAATTGATGTATAATTTCTAAGACCTTGATGATAAAACATAAAATCTGTCAGTAAGACATAGCAGCCTAGTAATGACCTAAAAATCCATGGTCAAATCTATCATAGATAAATATATTTTTTTATGAATTTGACTATCTTTAATGAGGCACTCATAATGTGCCTCTGCTTAATTATAGGCATATAGTCCATGTAGAGGCTAGTAGGTCATCTGGAATTGGTTGGCTTGACATTAATATAAAAAAGAACCTCAATATTTCATTTGCCAAGAAAGACCAGGAATAATAGTTGCTACTTTCTGAATGCAGATCTGTAGCTGGCTGGTCTGAAAAATTGTGATGGATGAATAGAGAGTTACAGATCCACCCATAGAAAAA